CAGGAGCAAGCTGCAAGCGGGGGCCCTCCGCCAATCAGCAGGGGGAATGGGGGAACATGCAAAATTAAAGGTCCCTACTTCTGATATTCCTGAAAGAAAGGCTGGCCACACTGGTACCAGAACACATGGTGCAGAACGCCGATTCCTTTCAGTAGCGGGCCCCCAGTGCAAGCCAGTCCCTTTCGGTATCTATACATTTATACCACTACTTGGCCGAATTCTCCTGGAAAATGCTACCTTATTAATACTATTCTGTATGAAAGAAGCAAAGCAAATTATAACAGTAAACTGTTTTCAATGCTATATATTTTTAGAAATCAGTTTTTTACAAGTATATTTTCCTTTAAAATTTGTCAAAGAAAGTAATGTTCTGGTATTCTGTTCCTGGCACCTATCTGTCAGCTCAAGCTGAGGTTGCTATTATTAGCATAACCCTGTGCTACTATTTTTAATAATTCAGACATAGGGCCATCTGGTTGTTTGGCAAACCTGGTAACATTCCCATCACGCTCTGTATAGGGGCTGCAGCGAAATTAGCACTGCTCTAAAGTCAGGAATTCAGGTATAGTGCAGATCCAGCATTCAAATACTTCACTCATTGATGGAAGCAGGTCAGATACTGAAACACAAGGCTGCATCCACTTTGCATCACACCACTGGCTCCTAAAGGCATGCTTCACATTGCTTCTGCAGTGCCACTGAGACACCTAACAGCTCTTGCCCATGGCAGATGCAAGGGGGTGAAATGGCACACTCACACCTTTCAGCTGTGCAGCGCATGCCCAGTGAACTCTTTGGCTCGCTGGCCTGTCAGGGAAGCTCCTGCTGGCGTTCCACACGTGTTGTGAGCTCTGAGCTCACCAGCTGATCCGTCAGGAAGGCAAGCAGCAGCCGCATGCACCCCCTGGGCTCTGGACCTGCATGAGAGCAGGGGATCTAGCCAGAGCCTGCATCAACCAGCTGGAGAGCTCTGAGCTCACAACACATGTGAAACTGGCAGTAGCTGCCGTGAAAGACAAGTGAATGCAGAGTTCACTGGCATCCACGACTGTGACAAGGGAGGTGCAGCCACACAGCTCATGGCTCCTGCCCTGCATAAGACAAATGCAGCAACGAGGCAGTGACACTCCCTGCAACTGCTCAAGATCTCCACCTCCAGAGCGCTTCTTATATTCTGTTTTCTGCACGTCCTTGGGCCACATCTGATGAAGTGAGCTTCAGCCCATGAAGGCTTGTGCTATATATTTTTATGTTAGATTATATTATATATATTATATTATACACACACACAAACACACTTTGGTTAGCCTATAAGGTGCAAATCTACCCTTCCTTCTACTTGACTTCAGACAAACCTGGGTAACTATATTTCACCAAAGTGCTTGACAACAGTGGCATAGGATGCTCTCAAGGCAGCCTTGCTGCCTCTTCTCTGGCTTGGTGAGGCTGTACTTCCCAGGAGCACTGCAGAAGTTGTATAGCTCTAAGTAAATGGTCCATGGAAGATGTCTGCAGAAGTACAGAGAAAATGTTGTTGAGACAGGGAGGCCTTGAGTACCAGAAACGTGGATACGAGTCTGCTGCATCAGTCTTGTGGAGATGGTTGAATCTTTGTTGGCCTTTGCAGCCTGGCTACTTAGAAGCCACTTTCAGTCTGCTCTCCCTCAGTTCATGGTGAAGAAAGTACACAGATCAGGGCAGTAGAAGTCAGTACTTTGTACATCGTCCCTCAGGCTCCTAGCATGATACTAGGAGCTCATGGTACTCTGAGCTCTCCAGCTGGTCAATGCATGGTAGAAGGTACTTTGTACATCATCCCTCTGGCTCCTAGCATGGTGACAGTACCAGAGATCTGCCCCTCTGTGAGCTGCTCTAATTTAAGTGCCTGCAGAGTCCATGTGTATTCAGCATCCCACGCTTCAAAATGATGGCAGGGGCATTTTAAACTAAAGCTCATTCAATGAGCATTAGTTAATGCACCCCCACCACAATTCTGAAAGGCGAGGGGACATTGAATACATGTGATGCAGCGGCTGCTGGGGCATGCTAATTAGACTCAACTAATCAAGTCTGCTCTGACCAGAGCAGAACTCCATCATGTGTATAGGTGCCCTAGGTGATCATCACATTCACTGATTTGACATTGACAAGTCTGCTCTGCAGGGAAAGCAATGCAGAAGTAATGATGAAAGGAAGACAGATCATTTCCAAAGGGAAGTGAGGACTTGCAAAGAAGAAAGGAGGTTTCTCAGACACTTCATTGCAAAGTTATAGAAAAAAACCCTGTCCCAACAGTAGATTAACTTTTACAGATTTATAATTGTAATATATATCTTATATATATTTTTAAGTCAAGTGCAAGAGGTTCTATCAAGCCTACAGGTTTTCTATTTTCAGTATCACCTTTACATAATATTTGTAAATACGTACTTTCTTTTATGCCATATTTACTCAAATCCAAGCCACAGCAGGGTAGGGGACAAACTTAAGACAACCCTCCAATAATTAGATCCCATACATGGGAAATGATAACATGTATAGAATCTAGAGGTGCACCAGTAAACCAGTGGCATATTGGATTGGCACCAATAAAAGGAAAATTAACATTATCAGCCATTGGCTTTTTTTGGACGATGTAGCTGATAATGATAAATGCTGCGTGCATGTGCGCAGCCACAACATGCACACAGCTAGGAATGCAGCTCAGCAGCACAGAGAGCACCATCTGGCTGGTAAGTCTGTGGGGGAGAGAGAGGGAAAGGGGCCTGGGGGCACAGATCAAGGCCCTCACGGTGAGGGAGGAACAGAGTGGGGCAGAGGCTGGGGTTGGGGCTTGGGCATTGCCTGCCCAGCCCAGCCAGGGCAGTGAATACAACCCCAGGGCCAGGAGCCAGATGGAGCCACAGGCAGCCCATGCAGGGGATGCAGGGGCAGGGGAGAGGGAGCAGCTCCTCGCTACTGTGTGCACCTCCAGGGGAGGTATGGGGGGCATATACCCCCTGGATCTGTACATGGGATGAGGGCAAGCTGCCTGCTGTGGGCGAGGGGCTGAGCCAGCCTCGTCCCAGTGTGAGGGCTGGGAGGGGCGGGGCAGGCTCAGCTACACAGAGCAGGCAGAGGAGCTGGGAGGGGTGGCTACAGGGAATTTTGGGGTGCCTATACTCCCCCAGGCCTCTCCTTAGCACCGCCCTTGCTCAAGACACTGCTCTGCTGCCTTTCCCTCAGGAGCCCTGTGCTGGCTGCACGACAGAAAGGCAGCATAACACTACCCTGTAGCCACCCCTCCTAGTGCCA